ACCAGCCTTTGTGTTATTATAGAAAAATTTATCTGCGCAATTCAGGCCACTCCTGTGTTGCAGGATCAATAAGGCTGAGATTTCTACAGTGGCACGAGGGATTTAATCAGCAATTTTAATAGAAGATGGAGCTTAAAGGCTTGCTATTGCTTTTAAATTCCCAGCCTGCTGCTGAACTGCGAAGCAGCAGAAGCACGGGCCGTGACAACCTCTTAATCCTAATAAGGTGTTAGATAATCATAATTAGGCTTTAAAATTAGCTGTCAGACATGCTTTTCTGAGAGGAGCCTCCATCACCTTGTGTCATTAAAACTTGATTACGCGTTAGTTTTTACCTGCAAATTAATCTATTTTTTTCCCAATTTATAAACACGGAAGATTACATTTGCCTGGACTATGATGTTTAATACCTTTTTTAATATTGGAGCTAAATTGTCTGTGATTCAGCAATGGGGAAACAACAGCAAGCGTTAGTGGTGAAACCACCCAGCCTTGAGCTGGTCCACATCTCCAGACACCCATCAGAAATGAAGTGTGATGCCAAGAACTGGCAGCCTCTGAGATCTTTGTTTGAAAAAATTAGTTCAGAATAGAAAAAAAAATCCATAAGATTGAAAAACAGGAGGTTGGTGGGGCTGTAGGTGATGTTGTTGGGTTCCTGGAGGACCTCATGATGGAGGAATCGCCACTTCTGCTGCCGTGGTGAATACAGCCGTTTCGAACCTGAATTTCCTCTCGCTGCTTCCATCTCTCATTTCAAAATAGCTCCTCTCCTGCTAATGTGAGTCAGAAAAAAAGGTCACAAATATTCTGCTGTTTAATTAACGCATTTTCCCCAATCTGCAGTAATCAGGAGGTGGTGAGATGCTCTTTGGGAGTTCCTAGAAAGCTCCTTGTCATCTTCACGCTGTTTCAGCGCTGGGCGGATAATATGGGATATTAGCAGACTTGAAATCTTCACCTTCATTAATTGCTGTGCCTTGAACACTGGTTGAGTAAATGTGTTCATTATATTGGAGTGTTTAGACATCTTCTCCCCTTGACTTCTCCTCTCCATCCTACACAGGCCCATTTGCTCAAAGGAGGGTTTCTCCCAGCCCTCCTCCAAGAGCTGGCTCCCATTTCTCACCAGCTGTCCCAGCCCACCTGCTTTTCCTTGATTTTTTTGCCATTTCCATTTTGTTTTAACGATTAATTGAGCCGTGACCAACACCTTGATGCCTTCATGGCACACTCAATGCCATCTGGGGCATCCCACGACAGCAGCTCAGCTTTTAGTCCACCCTAAAAAAAACCCAAAAAAACAAAAAACCACCTTAAAGCACAACTTGAAGTCTTCTTGAGGATTTTTTCTCCAATTTAGCACTTAAGTAATAATGTTTCAGGGGCAACTTCATGGAGCCTTCCTTGGAAATGCTTCTAGAGGTTGGAAATTCAGTTGCTGCATATCCGTGGTGCAGGGACATCCCATCCTCGGGGCAGGTCACACTTCGTTTAGATGCTGTACGTGCCATGAGATCTTACGGTTCTTTGGTGCCAGGTAACAAGAATCGGATTGCGCAGTGTTATCATGGGACCTGCATAAAGCTGCTCTTTCTTTTTGGAGAGCAAAACTGGTGGAGGGTTTGGAGGTTGACCTCATATTCATACAAGTCAACCTGTCAAGGTACCTTGAAAGGAAGCAGAAGAGGAGTGGAGATCCTTATGGGATGTCCTTACTCCATGGAAAAACTTTTTAAAAAAGACAAATAGGATCAGACTTGGATCTTGAGCTGGTACCACTGTTTTTTCCTGGAAGGAAAATATAATTTTAGAAGCATCAGACAGCTCAAAACTCAATGCAAATAGCAGCAAAACCCCAAAGTGACACCCACAGCCATCAGGTCAGCTGATACCATGTTATCCTTTAGGTTATTTTTTCTTAGGGATATTTTTGGGGACAAATTTTCATGTTTTGGAAAAGAGCCTTCATTTTCATTTCTTACCCATATACTCACCATCTCCTGAATGCTGCAAGATAAGTTCAGGTTTCTTTAGACCTTCGATAAAGTGTGAATCTGAGCCTGGGATGCTCCAGCTAAATAGCCTGATCATTTTCTTTTCCTTGCATCCTAACAGAAGACAAAGATTACTGCAATCTGCCCTATCAGGATTGCAAAGCTGAAAATATTGCAAGGGACATTTCCCTGGCTGCCCAGCCACTGCCGTCCCAAGCTCCCACTGCTCCGTGTGCCTTGCCAGCAGCCCGCGGTGCCTGTTTACCATTAAAAAAATGGCTTTTTTTTAATGGCAATGAAGCAGATTTGTGGCTTTTGTCACTAATACAAACAGACTGCAGTGAGCAGGACAGGTCTAAACGTGCTTGAACATCCCTTGGGGTTGCCTCTCCCACCTGCAAGATGGTCACAACCCTCCTTTGCAGGAGGAGAAACTGTTTGGCACTACCCACCTTGATGGAATACTTAAAGACGTGCATCATTTTCGCCTCTTAAGGGTTGGACCATTGGTGTTGCTGCTTGGTCATTGCTTGGGGTCATAGGCAGGTGACAGCAATACTGTGCCATGAAATTAGATCCTGCAGCAATTAAATTCTGGTTTTGCCCATCATACCTTGAGCAAAAAGGGTGAAAGGACCAAAATCTGGGAAGGAGAGAAGAAAAAACATTATTCTCGTCAAGTAGATGTATAGAGTAGGGTAAGTAGGTGTAGGGATACTCCTGTCTTAGGTGATTTAAGTGCTGGTTGAGTCCCATCAAGTCATACCTTGACCGTTGGGAATACTCATCAGCTCTTTGCCCGGTGGAAGTGGCTTGGAAGGAGCCACCGCCAGGCTGGGTGGAGGATACAGCCCTAGCTGCTGTGATAGATTAGCCAGGGGCTGGATGCTGGACTTGGAGATCTTGGCTTGGTGGCTTTCATGGGACATCAGCAGATGGTGGTGTACATCTCCTCCATACTGGGTGATGCCCAGCGAGCAGCCGGTGCGTCATGAACGGTGGCTTAGGTTGCTCATGTGCTGAATGGATGGATTTTGAGGCTGTAAATCCTCACCCTAACCTTGGACCACTCTTGTCTTTGCCAGGGTACACCGCAGGGACTCCCTACAAGGTCCCACCGACCCAGAGTAACAATGCACCTCCTCCCTACTCGCCGTCTCCGAATCCATACCAAACCGCGATGTACCCCATCAGAAGTGCCTACCCACAGCAGAACCTGTACACCCAGGTAGGTGCCTCTTGCCAGCCACCACAGCAGGTCACCACCTCGCTCAATGACTTGCAAACACAGCCTGAGGTTCTTGCATGGCTTCATCCTTGGCTGTCAGGGCTGAACACCCATGTCCTGGTGGGATGGAGGGGCTTGTGGTGGGGCTTGGGGGTCTCCAGGATGTTGGGGTCTCTCTCCTGGCTTCTCCATTGGATCCTCTGGATGAGACACGGTCTTGCACCATTGTCATGTGCAATGGAGTCAACGCAGTGGCATCCCTGTGGCTCAGCCAGGTTGGGAATCAGGTCCCTTCCTCCAAAATCACTGACTGTCGGAGCTTGCTGGCTTCAGGATGGTCCCTGCACCCACCTCTCCCCACCCTCCCCAGCTCTAAACACTGCTCTTCCCCCGGGCCAGAGATGAGTCTGGGCCACCACAAGGTCCACTTGCTGGTGGCTGTTGGCAGCTCACTCGACTCACATCACCCTCCTGCCATCTCCCATGGAAAAGTCCCCGTGTCACCTTCACCAGTACGAGCTACTTCAGGCATGACCCAGCTCCTCCCTGAGCACCTGGATGGGTTTCCAGTACCATCTTCTGTGCTCCTGCGTTGCCACTGTCTCCAGCTATACGCTGGAGCCAACATCCTCCACAGGGATGCAATTTAGGGCAGATGTCCTCCAAAAAATCACCTTGATGCCCCTTCCCACCGAAGATCACAAGATCCTTGGGGCAGTCTGTCCCTACAGCTTCCCTAGCTTTCCCCTTCCTCTAACACCAATAACCAACTTCTCCAGCAGCTACAACCTCATGGACTGGTTGCTCCATGCCTTGCTGAGACCGGAGCATCTCTTCTTGCTGATTTTGTCCACCATCACCTCTTCTTCCATGAACTGAGTGTTGCATAAACTGCTGGGGACCAAACACACAGGAGTTTTGACAGCCTGGAAGGGAATGATGGCGAGGAAGAGATGCTTTGGTAGATCCTTTCAGCACGTTGTGCTCACAGCACTCACCGCCTGGGATGTTCCTTCTCCGCAGCTGGTTTCTCAGTCCTCTTCATGAGACTAATTGATCTTGGCACATCCTCCTCATACCTGAGGAAATGCCTTTCAGCAGCTGCAATTTGTCCTATCAACCTTTGTGGCTTCTGAAAGAAAGAAGTAATTTAGTAGTTCACCCGCATCTCCTTCTCTTCTCAATCCACACCTTCAGAGGTTCTCTAATGGCTCTCACTAACGTGTGATAAAATCTCTCATCATTGTTCTTTTTCTGTTGGCTTCTTTCTTTTATTGCCATGCATCCTTTCCGCCTTGTTTCAAACCCCCGCGGGTCTCAGCAGCCTGAATTTTGGAGCCATCATCATTGGAAACCCAACGAGATGACACACTTCACAGACCCAAGCAAGCACCTTGGGACCAGCCAAGAGCCATGGCTTCTCCTTTTCTTCCGTTTCTTGTTCATTTTCTGTGCCAGCAGCCAAAGTCTTTTGGGTCCATGCCCTATTTCATCCCACCAAAGGGAGGTTTGTCCCTGATGAGTTGTCTCTCCAACCTATGATGGTGATCCCTCTTCCAGTCTTGGTGCCTTCATCCATCCCAGCAACCATCCCCCATCTCCATCCAAAAGTCTTTTGGGTCCATGCCCTGTTTCATCCCACCAAATGGTGGTTTGTCCCTGATGAGTTGACTCTCCAACCCATGATGCTCTTCCAGTCTTGGTGCCTTCATCCATCCCAGCGACGATCCCACGCATCCGCAGGTTCAGCTTCCTCTGTGCTTGTCCAGGTCTCCAGGCACAGGAGCTCGCTTGGGGGAAGGACCAGCCCTTTGGCAGAGCTCGAATGATGGCCCATGGGCAGCTCTTTGTACCAGAAGCTACGTGTGATGCTTCCTTGACTTAATATTGTTTCTGCAACACATCTGGAGGAGCTGAGAGCTTGAAGTCTCGAAGTGAAGGACCATCACAGCTTAGCCTCACGATACAGGCTGGGTTTGGGAACCTCTGATGTCCCACAGAATCATTAAGGTTGGAAAAGATCTCAAGGATCATCAAGGCCAACTGTCAACCCAACACCACCTAACCCACCATATCCTGAAGCATTTTGTGCAGGGGGTAGGTGGTGGGGCTGGACCCACTGCACACGGAGCTGGTGATTGCCTCTAGATAAAACACCAGGTTTCAAGTCACTGCTTTGGCTTTCAATCAAGTGACAAAGATGATGGTGGTTTGTTATTTTGGTTTTTTTTTCCCCTTCTCAAACAGGGAGCGTATTACACCCAACCAGTGTATGCGGCACAGCCTCACGTTATCCATCACACCACCGTGGTTCAGCCCAACAGCATCCCATCGGCCATCTATCCAGCTCCAGTTGCTGCGCCCAGGACCAACGGTGTGGCCATGGGGATGGTCGCTGGGACCACCATGGCAATGTCAGCAGGTAAGAAGGAAAGGTTGATTGCGTTTTGAGCCATATTTTCATCTCTCGGGTGGGATGTAGCCAAACAGCCTCTGCAGAAGACTTGTCCTGGATGAAAATTCACTTCTGATACTGATCTAACTCACTTTCTAGGCTAGCAGAGGAGACCTTTTGTTTGTCTCACCCTAGAAGGATGCACTCGTGCATCCTTAAATATATTATTCTTTCCTCTGTCTGTTCTATAAATAGAGAAATAACCAAATTTGGCCTTCAACTACTGTTGTATTTCCATCCTCAAATTCCTTTTCTAGGATACTTACTGTCTTGCTGCATATATTTGACAAAATGAACATTAACTTTGGCTTATATATCCCAAATCCCCTGCATCTCATGTGCAGGATTGCTTCCAACTGCAATTAATTGACAGCACAGTAAGTAAGGACATGGGCTGGTTTTATTTTTCCCAAAGCCTGTATTTTCCTCATTAACAATTCTTAGGATTGTATATTGAATTATGCCAAGAAATGCATCATTCATCCTTTCGCATCTGCATTAGCTGTGAAATAAGACTCTGTCCAGGACACAATCCCCAGTACGAGCAGAGATATTGCAGCCTGGGTGTGACGAGAACCATTCTGCGAGAGATTTACTCTTGCTTATACTGACAAGTGGATAGATGTAATTAATGCACGGGGGTTGTCTTAAAATTTAGTGAGCAGTATTTGTAGAGGGATACCCAGAAATTGAGAGTACGGTTGCTTCGAGCACCCACTTACTGCCAGAACAGAGAAATTTGGGGAGTAATTCCTAAATTGAAACTCAGAACAGAGTAATTCTCCATCCCCATGTCTGCTGAAGGCATCATGCAAATTCTCACCTAAAATTCCTCTGTGTATCAGCTGTAGACCTAAAAAAAAAGACACTGCACCAGACAAGTCCTGTTTCATGGTTGGGAGAGGATCAATCCTGCTGCGTCCCAAGGCTCTTGGCTCTGTGGGTATAAATGAAGCCAAAGAGAGATGGGAGATGAGTGGCAAAGCTCATCTTAATTTTTCCTGGAAGATATGGGGGTTTTTTTTGTTATCTCCTTTTGCAATCATCATCCCTTCCAGTTTGATCTGTAGATGTTTCAGATGGGTGCAAGGATCTGCTGTTGCAATTTAGCCTTCAGCATGTGGAAGATGCCAGTGGGTTAGTGACCATCTCTGCTGCTGATCTTTAGAGACAAGGAAAATTGGAAAAAGATGAGTTAAGGGCTGAAAATAACATGGAAAATATGCTGGAGCCTCAGGTGGGTTTATTCCCTTCATGGTGCTGGTTGGTACCGACCACATGAGTCAAACACCTTTGATTCAGGTCTTGTGGGCAGAATAATATTTGGAAGAATTGGAGAAGAAAAAAAAAAAAAAGGCAGCTGATGCTGTGCCTGCCCCTTGTATGCGATCTGCAGCATCGTCCCCTCAGGGTACCACTCCCCTGATGGAGCTCTCTCCTCCTTTGCTAAATATTTCTCTGTGCCGTTGCAGGAACCTTGTTGACCACCCCCCAACACACCGCCATCGGAGCACATCCAGTTTCCGTGCCAACGTACAGGGCTCAAGGAACCCCCACCTACAGCTACGTACCTCCACACTGGTAAACCCACTGGCCAACTCATGTAAGTGCTGCCGCTGCAGGTCTTGTTCTGCAGTCGAACACTGTGAGAGCGGAAATTGTCATGTTTTAAAGGTTTTGGATGTATCACGGTCTTTCATGAAATCATGGAATGGTTTGGGTTGGAAGGGACCTTAAAGACCATCTCATTCCAACCCCCCTGCCATGGGCAGGGACACCTCCCACTAGCCCAGGTTGCCCAAAGCCTCATCCAGCCTGGCCTTGAACCCCTCCAGGAATGGGGCATCCTCAGCTTCTCTGGGCAACCTGTTCCAGTGCCTTCCCCCTCGGCCTGTCCCTGCACCCCCTGATCCAGACCCCCCCCAGCTCTCCTGTAGCCCCCTTTCAGCACTGGAAGGTGCTGGAAGGTCTCCCCGGAGCCTTCGCTTCTCCAGGCTGCACACCCCCAACTCTCTCAGCCTGTCCCCGCACGGGAGCTGCTCCAGCCCTCGGTCCATCACACCCAATTAACGGGCAGCGTGTTGATGGGAATGTGTGATGCCGCACAGGCAGCAGCACGGATCTCCTCCAGCCCAGGAGGTTATCCGAAATCTCTCCTTGCTGCCCACATTACGCTGGGCTAATCCTGCCCATGACAAGTCATCGTGCAATTAGCATCCCATCTGCATATTTTTAATCCTGTGCGTTGGATACCACCAACAAGCTGCTGCTTTCTCAGCTCCATGCCCAAGAAGTTGCCCGCAGGGTGGCAAGAGGGATGGTTAAATCCCCTCACACGGGGCAGAGGAGAGGAGAACAACCCTGTCTGATACTGCACCACTTGCTTCTAACTCCTTTTTTTTAATATGTTTTGCTCTTTTCCAGATCTGGAGTCAAACATTGTATGCAACTACACAAGTCTTACATCGGTGCTGTGGCCGCTGTACTGCAGCACCTCGTCTGTTTGCAAGAACAAAAGAGAAAAAAAAAAAAAAAAGTGCAAGGGTCACTTTATGCATTCTTTAGTGGTTTTTGTAAAAGCTGCTTTTTCTAATCTTCTGCCTCCTTTTTATTTTTTTTCCCCTCCTCTCCCCGCTACCTCCTCCCCAACCCACATAAATTGTGTAACACACATACTGACACTGAGCAATAGTAAAGTTCTCTCTTTGGTCCTCTCATTCGAAAGCTCAGAATAATTCACTTTTCCGGCATTGCCCAGCTGAGTGGTGCAAAGATCCCCCCACTTCTTGTTCGTTTGGGTTCTTTTCGTTCTTTTTTTTCTGTTGTCGGTGTTGTTGACGAGAGCCTAGATTTTTCTTTGGCTAGTAAAAGTGGTTGATGTTCAGGGTACTATGTGAAAAGCACAGCGCTGGTAGGCAGGCTTATTCCGATTTGGTTTGGGTATTTTTAGTTGAAGAATATAAATTATTTAATCTTCCATAACATATTACAAGAAAAAAAAAATTGGTGTCTTCCAGATAGCTGTCGTGATAGATGATAAATGCGTTCTCTGCAGTGAAATTCTGAACTCATCCCTTCTTTTGTAGGAGTAAGAGAAAATAAATATCATTAGCGACGTAACACACTTGTCTTAGCATGTAGGAGGATTGGTCACCAGCAGGTCTTTGGGCTGCTTTTTCCAACTGGGCAAATGGATCTTCAGTGATGGGAAGAGAGCAGCGTAGAGATGTGTGCCCTGGGAGTATCTTGCACCTCTTGGGAAAATGAGATGCTCCCCATCAGCCACATCCTGGGGCTACGCGGGGGAGAAGGCAGCTCCTTCCTTGCATGGCCACCATTTGCAGGAGAGATGTGCTGGGTGGCTGTTGAAGGAAGCAAGGAGATGTCCAAGGGTTGGTCTGAAGAGCTTCTCCAGGTCCAAGGGTTGGTCTGAAGAGCTTCTCCAGGTGCAAGGAATGGTCTGAAGAGCTTCTCCAGGTCCAAGTGTTCATCTGAAGAGCTTCTTGAAGTCCAGAGGTTGGTCTGAAGAGCTTCTTGAGGTCCAGGGGTTGGTTTGAAGAGCTACTCAAGGTCCAAGGGTAGGTCCAAAGAGCTTCTCAAGGTCCAGGGGTTGGTCTGAAGAGCTTCTCCAGAGTCTGGTTGTGTGGGAAAAGAGGGTGGCTGGTTGATGGAGAAGAGTCTCTGAGGTAGGGCGAGGGGGAAGATGGGTGGCTTCACCTTGCACCCGTGCTGTCAGCAGGGCTGAGGCCAAACCATGATGCCTCCGTGGTGATGAAGGTGGCCCTCCATTCCTTGGCATACAGCTGGGCTTGGAGACTTTGAGGAGGAACATTCATCCACGTACAAATCCTGGAACTGTAGAGAAAAGCTGGTGAGGGGGATGATGTCCAGCTGCTCTGCTTGGTGAGCAGGGAGGAGCAGGGGGAAGAGGAAGCAATAGCAATAAACACGTCTCCTTCCTCACGGAAGGCACCTGAGAAAAGACGAGAGCAAGGAAGGTGATCCACAGTTGACGTGGACCAGGCTGGGAGACAATGGTCATGCAGAGGCTGTGGGCATCGGGGTCATTTCTGGGGGTTTGGCTTACCCAAGGGCATGAGGATATGAAGCCGACTGCAGACAGACATCTCACCTCGGGGTGTCTGAGTAGAGCAATAAGTTGTCTCGAGGGTAGCAGTGAGAGCATTCATATTTGCAGACAACACTTGCGGCCAGTTTGAGTTATTTTTAAATCCTTATCCCTAAACCCAGCATAGAAACAAGGGTTTTCTTCTTTTTTTTTTTTTTTTTTTTTCCCCTAAGAGAAAAAACATCATTGGGTTTTGATTTTTGCCTTGAGCGTGCCAAAAGAGTTGCATTCACAGAGACATTTGCAACTCTCACATCTTCTGGGCTCAAGGTTGTCACAGCGGGCCAAATCCAGAGCCTTTGAAGAGGTCACGCTGGGAGACGTGTGGATGGGAATCCCTCCGGGCGCTGCTTGGTGTGGGTTTCCAACCATGCATGGTGTCGAGTCAGCGCCCAGATGTCTCTGTTGGTAGCTCTGTTTTGGTCAAGCCTGCATGACATCTCCAGATGGGGGTGAGGCCAGTGAGGACCAGCTCTGGAGGGTCACCATGACCAGGACACGGTGGTGTAGAGGTCAGACTGGAGGGTCTTGCAGAAGAGCAAGATGACAAGTTGTTGGCATCTGGGTGAGGGTGAGACTTCTTTAGTCTTGGTGATGTCTCCCAGATTGGCTTCTGCTGCTATTGGGAGGAGCTACTGGAGCTCCTTCCCATGAGCATGGTCCAGATGAGGAGAAATAAGCTTAGAGACCCCAAGAGGACTTTTCCTGCGGTCCTGAGTGGTTTGTCAGGTTGGATGTTGGCGCTGGTGCTTCTGTAAGGGGGTCGTTTGGTTGATTTTGCTGTTTTTAAAGGAAATTTAGCAACGCTCTGGTTGACCTTCCCAACCTCAAGGGGAACTGTGGGGGTAAAGACTGAACATCAGCGCTGTGGGGTGGGGAAGGTGGGTTCTGTGTAGTACGTTGGGTTGCACTTTGGGTTTGTATAAAAGGAAAAGAGAAGAAAAAAATAGAATAAAAAATCAGAGGGTTGCCCAATTGAGCTTGGCAAAGCCAAGATTTAGCACGTAAAGAGCAATGGGACATTTGGAAATACCAATACTACGTCATCCTTCCACTGTTTGTAGCACACTACAGTTAAACCTTGGCCAAAAAACCACTGAACAGTAGATCACAGAGATCGAAGCACTCTCAAATATCCCTTTTTGCTCTCAGTGTTGACTTCACGTTATGTTATCAGGAGTTGTCCATCACCATCGAAACACATAGGACAGATTAAGCTCTTCCTGACTTGCAGGGTCCAACAAGCTTCGTTATTGCAGCCTGGGCTCTGCAGAGGAGGACCTTTCCCAGCAGACCTCCACCAGCAGAGACCATCTAACCAACCACTGGCCTGGGCATCCTTCTCCCTTCACCGCAGTAGGAACGACTGCTAAAATTTTGGCCCTTGGCTAGGAAGGAGACACTAGGCTTTCTCCTGAAAGGAAAGAATACACTCCAGTTGGGTGGAAAGCTCCAGGAGCCAAGCAGGGAGGACTACCCAGTGTTCCCACTAATGAGATCTGACATGGGGTGGTTGAGTTCAAATTCCTTCACTTGGATCAGTAGATCTAATGCTCCTCATCCTGTGATACCCAGGCAGAAATACTCATTAAGTCAACCAAAGTGTGAAGAAGTGAAATAGTCATCGTCTGTTGGGCAAGAGGCTTTGGTGAGCATGCTTGCCAGCTGGTGTTGGGTTTAGTCTTGCACCACTGCCTGGCTCCAGGGCCACCACCTGGCTCTGGGGCCACCACATGGTTCCAAGCTTGGGTGGCTCCTTCCCAAGGTGGCTTCATGGGGCTCTGGTGGTGGGGAGATGCTCCCTGCCACCCCATTGGGCAAGAAGCTTTGGTGAGCACATTTGGCAACCAATGCTGGGTTTGGGCTTGGAGCACTCCCTGGCTCCAGGGCCACCACCTGGCTCTGGGGCCACCACTTGGTTCCAGGCTTGGGTGGTTCCTTCCCAAGGTGGCTTCATGGGTCGTGGTGGTGGGGAGATGCTCCCTGCCACCGCGTGGGGATGTGGGGCTTGAGGCCAGCAGTGACCTGTAGCCCTCTCCCCTTCCCCATGGAGGGATGGAAGGACGGGAGGAAAGCCCAGGATCCCCCCCAAGCCCTTTTGTTGGCCAAGTCACGGCTTAAGTGAAGGTCTTGGGGAGGTCACAGCCTGGTGAGGGACGCACTGATGGGGGCCACCAGCTTCTCAAATATTTCATTCCAGCAAAGCTTTGCTGGTGTCAGTTAAGGAAAAAGGTTTCTCACGGTGAAGCATCACATGGGGTGGTAGCAGGGAAGAGCAGGAGGGGTTAACCCATCCTTAGCAGCCAGAAAAGTGTTTCGGAGATTAAAATCCCAGCTAAAAAGGATGGAAAATAACTCACAAACCACTGTTAAGACCATTAACCCAACCCTGGCGTTATCTGTGCTTTAAAGCATGAGCTGGAGTGCAAGATTTGGGGGGGGGAAGGCATTTTAATAGTGGTGGTGGTCCCCAAACCGAGCCCATCCCCATCACGCCTCCAAGCAGCTGAACCCTCTGGGCAAGGATTTCCTCCTGGATTTTATGAATAAGAACCCAGGCCAGCTTTTTGTTTGTTTGTTTGTTTTTTGGGGGTTTTTTTTTTGGGTTTTTTTTTTGTTTTTTTTTTTTTTTGTAATTTGAAGATGTAGTTACCGTGAAGTGTTATTTAAAGGGTTTGTTTTCGTGATGGATGGTTCAGAGCATCAGGTTTTCCCCCTCCCAGCTGTCAGCATCCCACTGGATATGGTCCTTTCTGCAGAGCCCCCCACTTTTTCCATCCTCTCCTGCATCCCAACGGATGCATCCCCCCCCACAGGGAATTTGGGATGATGTGGTCCCCGACCGGAGGGCTTGAAGTCACGTCTTGCTTTCTTAGAGGGAGGAAAATTTCTATTCTTTTCCATAGGAAAATCCAACCAGCCGACAATAGCAATAAAAGCCGCTGGATACCCATAAATCCAGGTGGGGGGTTTTTTGGGGTTGTTTTGGTTTGGTTTTTTTAATTATCAATAGTTCCAGGCTCCCTGAAACATGGTGACCCTCTGCCCATTCTCCCTTTGCTTTGCTGTGAGCGCCGGGTCGGCTCCTGAGCCCATCGGGTTACTGGCAGGATCAGGCTCCAGGTATTTTCTAGAGAAAAAAAAAAAAAGGCAAAAAAAGGCTGTTGAGGAGCTTGAGAGGAAGGAGAGCTTGGAAAAAGCGTTTTTTTTCTTTAGAAAACGTAGCGATTCACCGGTAATGGGGTAAAATAACCCATTACGGGGGTGTCTGCAGAGCAGGAATAGCAAAATACGTGGTTTAGGGGCAGAAGTTTCTGGTTGGAGATGTTTCTAGAGAAAAAAAAAAAAAGGCAAAAAAAGGCTGTTGAGGAGCTTGAGAGGAAGGAGA